TTGTTGAATGAAATAGAGCGGAAAGACAGAGCTAGAGGTTTAAGGTGAATTTGCCTGTGGGTTCTTCATCTAAGCTCTTTGCCTTTGATTTTCTGCCTTAAACTAAACTTGTATCAGATAAAATACTGAGCTGAACTCTCCTTACTGATTGGCCCTTCAAGTGGCCACTTTCCTGGAGGTGGTAATCCACAAAGTTGTTAGCAACCGACACTTCCTGTCTCCATCTAGGTAACACCTCAGTTATTATTGGGTCTCCTGAAGAGACTAAAGAACATGCAATTTAAGTTTGTACACTTAGCTGTTTCTGCTTGAATCACTCTTTTTCCTGTAGGGAAGTAGAGACCTTTGTAGCGTCGTTTATGCTTTCTGGACTGTCTTGGCTAAGAATCAGTTAAACCACTGCTTCACACATGGACTTCCTCACCTCTTCCTGAACCTGGATCAAAGATTTCCTTCTCAATGCGACCTTCTCTGGGTCATTGATCTAAAACTTCAACCATTTTCTCCCCTTCCAACCTTCGATGTTTCAAAACTCCCTTTCCTGCATTTTCTCCTTAAAACTTCCCACTACCTCTATGTTTTATTGTTCTTGTTTTGTGTCTCCATCAACCAGAATCAAGATCCTTAAAGGAAAGCTTTGTTTTATGCTATTTGCCCTAAGCCTGACATCTAATATTAGTTGAATGAATGAGCAAACTACCTGGATCCTCTTCCAAACCAAAAACAAAACAAAACAAAAACATTCAAGAAAATAAGAGCAAAGTCTATTTCTGCAAGTCTCCTTCATTCTCCATCTCTGCTTCTTCTCCACCTTCCAAACTAACAGGATAGCCCTAACTAGGTAGGGGTCGAAAATACTCAACTGTTACAGCTTTGCCTTCCGCAAGGACAGCTGACGCCTGTGCTACAGCTCTAAGTGCCTGCCTGGCATAAAGCTTGGCCTGTGATAAGCACTCACGGAAGATCTGGTTAGAGTTAAGTGAATGAGTCTGAAGTGTCCTAACAAAAAACACTCCCCATTCCGAGTTTCGTTTTCACCCAAACTTCCTGGTGTAGCACAGCTTTGTCACCCTCATCCCTGGGCTTCCACATCCATTTCAAAGTAGCTACTCCAGTTCCTGCCGCCATATTTACATTCGAGCCATTGGGAAGGGGCAAGGGGCAAAAACATTCCCCTTTGGAGCCTTACGCCAAATGGCACATATTTCTGTTCCTATCCTTAGTCACATGACCATTATCTAGCTGAAAGGGAGGCCAGGAGGTATGGTGTACAGCTGGACATAGGTGTTCTATAATTAAGGAAGGGGAGGATGGGTATTGGTCAAATTCTAGCAGTTTATTACATAGACAATAAATGCTTTTCATTTCCAGTTTTACCGTCTGTATGTAACTAGTTTGCGTTTGCATTCGTCATCTTCACCCTCACTGCTATCACGAAGTAGGCTGAAGCAAATTTTGTAAAACAAAGAATTTTATGTGAAAAGAAGGCAATCAGGGAATGCCGACTATTAATCTTAACAAATGTTGGGATAGCCCTTCGAACTCCTCTATGCTTTTTTTACCCACAACAATCCCACACACACTCTTCAGCAAAACTAATCTTAGATTTGGAAGTACAAACACAGCCACTATGCTCTGTCTCTCAAAGGTGTTACTAGTGCGGCCCTACCTGAATGCAGTTAAAGTCTTGTCCCTCATGCACAACAACTGGGGATGCTGTTAGGAGATTGAAAACCAGGGTGCTGAAGTCAAACTGACTGCAGGGCTCTTCACCACCACCCTTGAAAACCAGGGTGCTGAAGTCAAACTGACTGCAGGGCTCTTCACCACCACCCCTGCAAGCACTCTTTGGCTATTTCTCTGGTCAAATTTATCAAGTAAACTGTGGCCTTTCGAGTTTCTCTGAGAAAAATATTAAACATCAGTCAACAGGCTAAGTCTCCAACTTGACTGTCAATTTTGTAGGTTCTCTGACCAACAATTCCAGGAACCTGATAACCTCAGGGCAAAGATCTCAAAGTTCAAAGAGAAAGAACAGATACTCATCTCCTAATTTCTTAGTTGAGTCTCCCCTTCTTCTCTGATAAGACATGCAATAAGCAATCTAATATTTAAAGGGCTGAGCTACAGACCATTCAACTAAGAACTACCATGTTATGTAATTCAAAAGAGGAATTCTAGTATAAAAAAAAGTCACATCTGACTCTGGCCTCATTCATTCCACAAATACTGGCATGCTTACAGTTTATCAAGAACTGCCCTAGCAGTGGGAACACAGGTCTGGCCTCAGAGACCTTACAACCCCATGAGACGAGACAGTCGGTAAACAGAGTAAAGAAATAAAATCTACAGTATGTCAGATGGGGATAAATGCCATGAAGAATGAAAACCTTTTTTCTGCTTAATTTCCAATGTCTTCTTTTCCTTCTTTCTGAAAGCCTTCTCAGATTAATCCCAATGGGCTTTGTCACTCCAGCAATCTCACAAAATATCTGGACAGCAAGGCTTGATGCTGTACATTTTGCAAAGTCTGCCATTCAACAAAAGATCCTAAAGAGAGGACAGTGTTCTCTTGGGTATATAAAATTCAAGAAACACTTGGCACCAATTTCTCTGAGTGGTTTCAGAAAAGGAGCTATAACTCTACTCCTCCTAATCAGCTAAATTGTTGTCAGAGACAGGAAAAGGACTCATGTAGAGCGACTACGCCACCAGGTTAGAAGGGACCACGCTACACATGGAAATGTTTAATGGTTAGCTATGGCTTGGGGTTTTTTTGTTGTTATTGTTGTTTATCCTTTTCTGTACTGTTACAATTCTCACCATTTAGCTCAGATAAAAGCATTATTTAAAATGTGCTACGGGGGCGCCTGGGTGGCTCAGTGAGTTAAAAAGTCTCTGGCTTCGGCTCAGGTCATGATCCCAGGGTCCTGGGATCGAGTCCCGCATCAGGCTCTCTACTTCCTCCTCTCTCTCTGCCTGCTTCTCTGCCTACTTGTGATCTCCGTCTGTCAAATAAATAAATAAAATCTTTAAAAAATAAAAAAAATTTAAAAAATTTTTTTAAATAAATAAATAAAATGTGCTACGGTGAGTACTGTGAATTGTGTAAGACTGATGAATCACAGACCTGTACCCCGAAAATAAATCATATATGTTAATAAAAGTAAATCATTTAAATGATTAAAAATAAATAAATGTAAATTTAAAAATTAATTAAATGAAATGAAATAACACGTGAGGTTTTTATCAGATAGGGAAGGGAGTAAGAGATTAAAACAAAAGTATAAAGATACTTTCAAAATCCAACCCCAAACATCAAAACCCTGCCCCAGGAACTGCCTCGCACAGAAATTCTACACATACCCACTTGATATGATATGAATAATAGAAGTCTAAAATGCCCCTTCCACCATTCATCCCACATACACAAGGATGATTAAGGAAGCTACCAACAACCCTTCCTTATACTTTCCTATAGTCTCATCTTCCTTTCTTTAAACTACCATCACAAAGTGATTTAGATTAGAACACACAACCTTTTCTTAAAAAAATCAAGTCTTCATTAATGAAAGGCTTACAAATTCAACAAAGAAAGAGTAATATTTAACATGTTAAATAGAGGAACTTTAAAAAAAAATGCTTCCTTTTTTGAACCATATGTACTACCGAGCTCTCAAGAAGTACCTTCTTAAAAGCCTGCCCCAGCCTCCCAACAGCCTTCTTATAAATATGTATAAAATCTGAGCTACATCAAAATTGCTGTGCTGTGGAGGAGCATTAGCTACTGAGTCTCTTGTCTGAAAGAAAACCAAAGCAGCTGTCACAGCTGATCCCCTCCTCGCCTGAACTGTTTGGGCTACAGCAATCTGTAAACTGTAAACTAATCACCTTAAATCAGAGAGAAGCCAACACCTCTGTTTACTAAAATCTTGTGCCAGAACAATTTTTTTTTTTTAAATATCCTTCGAAAACAGCCACTGAAGTCACTACTAAATACCTTACACTTAAAAAGCTGCAAGAAGGAGCTGATTTGCAGAAATGGATTCTTTGGATGACGTCTTGTCTCCAAAAAGTACAGTAAGAGCTTTTATATTTATTCTTTTGGCTTAAAATGTTTAGTTTGGGTCTTCCTCCTTTCCTAAGGGGGAGCACACAGATTTACACCATCCCTTCCTAATGAGAATGCATTTGAACTTCTCTACACAGCACTCCTCTACTTCTACCACTCCTTCACACAGTGGTAAAAGTGTGTACTTGGTGGGGCTGTAAAACTAATCTGTGACTTAAAAAAAATTTTTTTTAAAGAATAAAATAAAACTAACCAAGGGTGGACATCCTAAAGTCAAGCAGCATCAGAAATAATTCCTCTCAAAGCAGCAGAAGAAATGTAAGAAACAGTAAGAATAAATTCAAGTTCTTGTGTGCCAGGCACTGCTGTTAAGTACTTTATTTGTATGACTTTATTCAATCTTCCCCAAAATCCTATGAAGTGGACGGGAAACTGAGGTACAGAGGGGTTAAGCAACTTGCCTTAGGGTACAGAGCTGAGAGAGCTATGAAGCCCAGGACCCCTGTGGAGGAAGGCAGAACCCAGAGCCACTTCCGCTAAGAGCTACTCTATCTCCTAATCATCAGGTCAACATCACTCATTTACAGAAAGACAGAGAGAAGGGAAATTAGTATTTAAACAAAATTACCCCAGACTAGATCTAAATACTTCTTCAAAACACAACTAAATTAAACTCAACCAACAAAGAAAAATACATGGACTCCTTTACAAACAGAATGGAAAAACACTGATCATTCTGAGCAAATCTCCTGCTGAGTAGAAAGGCATGGTATATCCATTTTCTATTGCCCAAGCACACACAGATAACACAGCCAGTCACAGCAACTGGGCATCTCATCCTTTTTATAACTCCACTCAGTGAAACATGTTAAGTCGAAAGAGAGTCCAAAAAACACACAAAATAAAAATCCACACACACACATTTATCAGGTTTTGAGATTTATTAAAATAAAGTATTAGCAAACAATACGCAAAAACAAAGTTCTTAAGAGTTATGGCTTTGAAAAGCATAATATAGTAAAACCTAATACATTTTTATAAGTATCAAAAAGGCAACAGAATTGAAGAATGTTGCTAGAACTTCATTTTCTACAACATAAACAGAAGCAGAACAAGTACAAATAAGCAGATCTATAGTGCAGCCATTGGTTTGGTCTTTATCATCTGCATATGAAGTATCCTTTTAAGAGAAGATGGGCAGGTGCATACAAACATCCAGTTTTCTTGATTACAATCCTATCCAATTTTAAAATAAGTGATTTTCAAAACGCAATTTTAACCCACCAGATCAAGAAAATCACTTGCCCAACTATTTTCTTCCAGAGTCCCTACACATAAAATATTTCATGAATAAATCAAAGCAACATCATCTCCAATGACATGAGAAGGGAAAAGATGATTCTAAAAAATTCCTTATAAAAGTAAGGAATGTGGAACCATCTGGCCTCACTGTAGTTTTATTACAGTTAATACCAGCTCGTAGCAACAAGGCACTACTTACTAATTAGGGAAAAGAACCTACCTGTACACAAAATTCTGAACTTTTTAAGAACACTATCTTCAAATGAATCCTTAAAGGACAACGGTTTACGATGATTGCAAGAATTTTCAGAATTGAATTATTTGGACAAGAACCACACCGACCTTTTTCACTCTGCCATGAACGACAGAAGAATCCTGCTCTTGGATCTTTTCACTATAACATCCCATCACCTGTTTTACAGCAAATGCTAACCAGCAAGTATTATATCATAAGCTCTTCCTTAAAAAAAAAAAAAAAAATCTTTTTTGCTATGTAAAAATCCCTCTTACTGGTTTTTGTACACCATCCAATTTCAGGTTAACACTTCAGTTATAACACAGCTGTATTTTAGAAGGTAAGTTTCTATTATGAATAATCCAATTGATAAAGGCTTGATACATACTGTTACCTCTTGTAATTAGGAAATGCTAAACTGTAATCCAGTGATTCCAAAGAACTGTCCGGCAGGCACACTGCTTATACAGAAGAAATGCCTTGAATCGTCACTTTCCATACATGCATCTTCTATGAGCAGAAAACCTCCCCCAAGTCCTGCCTGTACCATCGAGGAAAATGGCTGCTGCTCCAGAGGAAACAGGCCTCAAACCTGAGATTACCCCCATAAAGCTGCCCTAGCTAGTATCCCAAGAGACCACCCATAAACCAATGTTCAGGAGAAGTCCCTTCCATGAAAATCACCAAACATGCCTGAAACCACCCTGCTATCTACTACTTTAAAATATCCTTGCTTTTCTAGCTCACTGGCATAATGAGGACACATATTTATACTACTAGCTGAGAGAGTGAGTGAGGATTTAATAAGACAAAGAAGGGCTCAGACCCTCTGAAAAGTTAACAGATCCAAACTGAAATCATCACTGGAAGATGAGTTCAAAATGATCAGAAGAGCCTTCCTTCTTAAGCATGAAAGATATTAATATATTTTAAGTGGGAAAGTGATAACAATCCAAAGTAATACTGAAAAACAACTAAAAAGAGTATAAAGAAATGGATCTAAGCTGACGTACAGATGCTCTCTGTAACACAAAGACAGTACTTAAACAGGTACTATCAGACTTTTTGGAGGTTCTCTGCTACTGGTAGGATTTTATTTTTTGTATAAACCTTCTCCTTCAACAGAATACTATTACAGGAGGACTGTTTCCCACAGGTACCCTTGAGGATTTTATAATGTGAGCCCCAGTTCTTACCCTGACAAGAGATTTCAATCTGAACACTTATTGATCATTTTACATCTTAAACGGATATCTCACTGTCAAATGTTATGAACAGCATAAAGTAGCTACATCCTCTTTCTGTACTATGAGGTATACAGCTCACTGTACTACCTAGTAATCTTACTGTGGATTTCAACTCAGAAACCCAGCCAATTCTATTACCACAGTTTCCTTATTTAACAATAAAATGTGAAAAATGATTTATATTGATGTATATGACTTGACATTTTGATTGATGTCTTCTTCAATCTCTAAGAGAAAGTGTTAGCTTCAGTAGATCAATAACACGCCTACTAGTTGACATTCCATAACTTAAGCCAAGCAATACCAAAAAGACCATAACACTTTATTTTAAAGAGATGCTGATCAAATGCAACTTTTAATTTTTTTTCCCCAACCATCTTTCTGTTGCAATAATTCATTACTCAGATTAATTTTGATTCTATGTCTCTTTCTGCATTTACCAAACCGGTTGTGATTTTATTATTTCCAGACTCCAGTCTTTCCAGCTCACATATGTTAATATGTTATACACTATAAAACATGATTGTTCCAGTGGTGTTGATGTTTCCATAAATTTGACTATAAACCACTCTAGAAATCAAATAAAATTTTAAAACTGCATTTTTCTGAAAAGGTTTCTTTCAGAAATGTCTTCTTTTCATTGGTCACTGGCAATTTTTATTTCCCATCCATAGATTTTGGGCACCCTTGGGAATTAGAGAAGCAGTTACACTGAGTACAATTCTCACTTATAATCCAGGCGTGTGGAGTTAATCACTTTTAGGAAATACAACAAGCTTATACTTTTCCATGAAACTCTCAACAGTTAAGAGCTTCAGTACTGTCCTTCATGAGACAAAATTCCTTGGGGAAAACACAGAAAAGGCCAATCACATGAAACCTTGCCAACTCTAAAGGCTGTGGCATGAATAAAAACAAATTTTAATTAACTCAATTGAAAACATCAATAAAACAATTCAATAGTTTCTACCAGTTCAAACCCACTGAAGTTGACTACATGTATCTGTCATTCAACCAGCGTGCTTTGTTTTTGTTTTTTTTTCTTATAAATTTGTTCCAAAGATTGTGCCATATGCTTGGTAAGTAAAAGAATTATGTGGGTAGCTAGGTTCAAACACGGAGCAAGTAATTCTCTTTCCTGAGGCTGACACAACTGGAAGATGAAGAATGCATGCCATGTAGAACTTACGTTTAAGGCACAGGTGAGGGTCAGAGAGGATCCTTTTACCCAACAAAGGACCATGAACTGAAACACATATGGCGCCTCACCCAAAGGAACTAAAGCCACCCACTGGCTGCACTTTGTAAAAGCAATAAATAATGGCACAGAAAACAAAATGAACCGCATTCTCTTCTCCTCAAAAAATGCATTTCTTCTTCTCTTAAAAGCAGAAAGGGCAAAGTAGAAAGTCAAACCAAACTAACATTTTAAATAGAAGACTGACATGGCTCCATATACTTTCAAAAGGCACCAGAAAAATAGTTTTCTCCCATAGGTACATTAGGTAATTTCCTTTTTTTTTTTTAATAATGTCTCTGTTCTCATGCCATAACAAAGTGTCCATCTGACTGCTCTCTAGAAAATGAGGTTAAAAGTTCTTTACCCAAAGCCCTCCAGCATGACTGACTGAATGGGTATTTTAGAGTGTTCCTGTCTTTCCTCTCTTGAGGACTGTTCTGAGAGACTAGCATCCACAAAAGTACCAAAAAAAAGGGGGGGGGGGAGAACCAGCACACATGTTAACAGAGAGAACAGTCTGCAGTCTTTCATATGTGACTATTTTAAAGTCAACTATCTCCATAACCACTGCTTATTCATTCAAGCACCAGACCAGGAGCCTCAACTCAGGGCCAGACTGAAGAGGCTCTTCTGGCTACAGTACACAGGTCCTTTCCTTGCTCAGGGCAACTGACGCCACTCAGAGCAATGGGATTAAGTGTGTGATTTTCCAACATGAGTAACACCCATAAAGCAGTAGGAAATTAAAAAGGCCCCTTAAATTGGAGCTACAGAATAACAGTCTTATAATCTAGGTTGAAAATACACCAAAAGCTAGAAAAAGTGTAACTTCCTACAACTGTCGTCTATAAACTGCAGTGTTTGTTAATATAAAAGGGGTACCAAGGAAGTAAGGGTGAGCATCCAAGTCCAAGTCACTTGAGCGTGTTTCACAAAAGGTTACACTAAAAACTGTCACCCATCAAAGTGCAAAATAAAAGATTAATGCATGTCAAAATTAGAGTTCTTGCAACATTGGCCAAAAGCAGCAAGTCTGAACAAGGCCGTGCGTGCACTGTCACTAGCTATAAAGTAGTACTTAGGACAGATTCTGGGTAAATGACATATACTGGAGATCTGTTGTTTACAATATTTTTTTTTTTAAAAGGAAATGTTTTACAAAAGATATACTGAGTGAAGTCACAACAGACTGACAAACATTTAGCTGTATTAAATGTAAATTTCATGACATCACCTAGAAAACTATCACTTTGCTTTTACCGAACACTACCTGTTAAGAGCAGTGCATAGTGTTCCTTCAAATAAAAGGGTGTTGTTGTTTTTTTATAGTTTCTTTTCAGCCCTTACCATATGCTTTTATGAAATAATGAATTACACTTTCTTCACATTGGTAGGACAAAGAAACTGGTAAAAGTAGAGCTTCCGTAGGGTTAGGAGGAGGAGGGAAGACTTTTCATGGCATACCTTCTAACACTATTATAACTTGTCATCATGTGATGTATTACTTTAAAAAAAAAAAATGAACAAATAACAAGTCATTTGGGACAAGAAGGCAAAATTATGTCCCAATTTAAGCTCAATGCCAAACTTGTCAACTGGGGTACAACACTTACTTTGCATTTCTCACAACACTTTTGGGAGTTAATCACACGAACATGACTAACAAACAAATGTAGATTCATCACAAATACAAATGTATTGGTCACAATTATGTAGAAAAAAAAATAAGCTATAATATCTGTTTTCCATGTAAGCTCACAGTATCTGTACTGAAAGTTTCCCTAAAATTAAAACAAGTCCACTAATAATATAATTGAAAAGACTACTTCTACACTATGAGACAGAAGATATGGGGTTCAGAGGGGAGCCCATCTGAGTCAGGACTTTATCCAGCCACTGAAGAGGCCCATGAAGATGAATCTCAATCCAGCATGGGGTGCTGGTAACATCCTGCCGGTGATATTCGGCGCCCCAGCCCTAAGAAAATGAAAAGATATCATAGCAAATCTCTCTTTAAACTGTCAACCAGCCTAAAACAATTTTAACATACTAACAGAGATACTTTAACAGTAGAGACCACAAAACCAATCTCAAAATTCACCATGGAGTTAAAAGCAACAGAGTTACAGTAGTGAAAGAGATAGGATTCCCTTAATAGAAACCCTTGGAGTGAGATATGTTTCAGAATTCTTCCTCTTTTTGAAGTTTGTAAAGTTTTGTACTTCAGAAAGTACAATATCTCATAATTAAAACACTATTATTTCTGCAGTGAGATACATTCTCACTTAATGGGATAAATAAAACCCACAAAGAGCCTCATATAAGTTCACATCAGATTTTGCTATGAAAAAGTTTTGGGTTTTCAGGTTTGGGATTTTTTTTTTTTTTTAAGTATGCGATAAGACACTATAGATCTGATCAATGCATGCAACTGTAATTAAAGTAGGTGGGATGAATTAAACTGGAACACTTTAGCTTAAAATTCTAAACAGAATTTTTTTCACATTTATGTGCCTGGATTCACCAAGCTCTCTGCTTTACAGCTTACGGTAGTGCTGGCCCAGAAAAATAAGGCTTGGGAAGGGGGAAATGGGCAAGTAGAGACTAAACATATAAAAGTTATGCTTCTGGGGCACCTGGGTGGCACACTTCGTAAGAGTCCTGGGATTGAAGCTCGTATCCCTGCCCCACTTCTTGCATAGTCAGGCTCCCGGCTCAGTGAGAAATCTGCTTCTCATTCTCCCTCTGCTCCTCCCCAACCCTCATACTCTTTCTCTCTCTCAATCAAATAAATAAATAAATAAAATGTTTTTTTAAGAAGTTATGCTTCTATGGAGGGGGAATGCCTTTGGGGCTACTGATGCATAAAAAAGACCTATAGCAAAGCAGCAAGGCAACACTGGACTGTGGGTCTGAATGCCAAAAAGAAAAAGCCCACTTAGAGCATTTCACAGTTGTTCTTCTTTGGCTAAATCCTTAAGGACCAAATGGATAGAGTACAAGATGCTTATATGTGTCACTAAAATTCTTCCCTAATTTTACTCACAAACCATTATCTTCAGAAGGCCAGTAAAATCAGGCCAAGAGCAAATGATAAATTTGAAAAGTTCTTTCAACTTTGCAAATCCTTAATAACAGAGGTTAAATGCAAGGAAGATAATTTTAGTCTTCTGAAGAATTTTTTAAGTCACCCCAGTGGGATCTAATAATAATTGAAACTGCTGAAGCTAAGGAACTTCAAAAGCAATTTTAATATTTCTAGCAATTCAGTCTTTAACCGTAGCTCTTTATAAACTCAGCCCCTATTCAATATCAAAATCAGTATCAGTATCATGGATTATATAATGTCCGGATTATAAAATTAAATCTTAGACCTATCGTGTGGTTTTAAAGCTTTAAATTCAAGAGTATCATTTAAAAACCTATTAAGTCAGGTCAAAAGTAAATACTTTCATTTCACAAAGGCATTTTAAAATCACAACCTAGAGAAATGTAATATACATATTTACAGTGACTCTAATTAAGCTACAGGCTACAACCCACTCACCTTGACAAAACTCATTCGAATAGTACACATTTTGGTGAGCTCATACACGGCCTCAAATCCGTGGTTGACAGACTGAGCCAGAAGCTGAGCAAACTCTTGGTTGTTAAAAATTTTGAGGCTGCAACTGCTGGGAATCTTACAGACAGTGGTAGGATGAAAGCCGTGATGAAAGTTGCAGTTCCTACTCTGAACAAATATGCTGCTGTCACTGAGGCACTCTGCATACACCTCTCCACCAACATAGTACAGGTGAACACCTTAAAAAGACGAGCATTACAAGACTCACCTTAATACAGCAGTATAATGAAACCAAAGAGGTAGTATAAGGTGCAACCAAGAATACCCACTAACCTACAGCAAATGCCCAGCAGTCTGTAGACAGAAGCTACCACTAGAGGGCCTTACACTGCCAAAGAGAATCAAGAGCTCTACAATGGTCCTTAAATAACTAGTAAGACTTAAGCCTCAGGTTTATCAGTTCTTAGGTTATTTTCTCTTTGCCAACAATCATTTAATATCTCTGTGAGAGAAAGCGAAGGCAAAAAGACCAAAAAGCACCTATGATCAGTCTTTTCAAAGGAGCACTTGGTGCTAAGTTAATTTAACTATCACGAAGAGTCAACTGGCAAGATGCTCCGCTTTCTTTTTACTAATGGGAGTACAGGAGCATTAAAAAAGACCCTAAGTCGGGGCACCTGGGTGGCTCAGTGGGTTAAAGCCTCTGCCTTCAGCTCAGGTCATGGTCCCAGGGTCCTGGGATCGAGCCCCACATCGGGCTCTCTGTTCAGCAGGGAGTCACTTCCCCCTCTCTCTGTCTGCCTCTGTGCCTACTTGTGATCTCTCTCTGTCAAATAAATAAATAAAATCTTTGGGGAAAAAAAAAAAGACCCTAAGTCGTACATGTAATTTCAGGTCACAGGAAAAGACTTTAAATGGCAGATTTATTTTATTTCCCTTGAAAAGACTGGTTTGGGTATTTTAAAAATATGTATGTAAGTAATATGTGAACACAGTTTCAATATTAAAACTTCAAATTATACAGCTAAAGCTGAAGTTATTTCCAACTTTTCACCACTACAAACAGTGCTAAAAAGATGATCCCTGTACACTCATACCTCATACACATGTGAGTCAAAGACTTATATTAGGCTATGGTACGAAAACCTATGTTTTGTTTTTTGTTCTGAGCAAATAAAATGACCCATGGAGGAAGGGATCCTAAAACTAGATACTAGGAAAAATGGGAAAACAGATAGTAGAATTTAAGAATTGACCAGGTAGACTTCTCTAAAATCATTCTCCTGCAGTGGGAAAACCAATACATAGAAGTGAGGCATTTCACCCACAAAATCAATGCCAAGTTAGCAAGAGTCAAAAAAGAACAGAAATTTCTTTTCAGCTTATTTTTGGCCATAGTATTTTGCTGAATCTCTTATCTAAGAAATCACATTACAATTATAATTGTACCTCCTGTAGGTACAAATAAAGTTTACTGTTCGTAGGTAAAGGATGTAAGTGTACCTTTTGTTCTATCTAACCTGGACTAAGACTTTCTCAAATCCAGGAAACAAAACAGAGCTAGTGGCAAAAACTAAACTTAAAAGACAGACAATACGCTCCACCTGGGAAAGGTTTCCTTCCTGACCACTTGATACATGAGACTCAGACATTTCACGGAGGTGGGAAAGGTTCCTTGTTTGTTGTGGCAACTGTCTTGTGGGATGAAATGGAAATAAAACCTAGTTACCTGAATTTAAAAGGTAGGAGGGGTGGTGATGAAGCCACTGGAGACTTGCTATCATTCAAACTGGACTTCTTAACTATAACCCAGCTCCTCCAACATAACACAAATTGTTACAAGGCACCTCAACTCAAAATACCGTAATTAAAAAATTCTAATCCTTCACCAGCATTCATATATTTCACAAATATTTGTCTGTGCTTACTATAAGCCAAGCACTGTTCTAGCTGCTGAAAATAATGCTGTGAACAAAGCAAACTTCTGTAAAGCTTATATTCCAGTCAAGAAGACACTCAAAAAATAAATATAGGAATAGTATGATTTCAGAGACTAAGTACTATGACAATAAGGATAAGGAAAAGAGAACTGATCAGGTCTTGACTTAATTCACTCTCTAGCACCTGACCCTTGAGGGCAGAGCCAGTGCCTCAGGCTCGTGGTATAGACAACTTTACACAACTCACGGTACACAGTGAGCACAACAAATGACTGATTTCAACTGAATGCAGGGAAATGACAAAATTACCTTTTCCAATATGTCGCCTAGTGTTTTCAATTGTTGAATTACGATTAACATTTGACAACAACCCCAAGCAGAATCTACTTTTGTTATTCGAAGGGTCTGTAAATCCATCTACTAACACGCTAGTAGAAGATGCATGAAAAGCCTCCCCAACACGATTGTTTAATTCATAGTAGACAATTGAACACCAATGTTTGGGCTCTTCATAGGCAACAGGCTGAACATCTGTAAACAAACCAGACAGAAAAAATGATTAGTGAGTGAATAAGAAACCCAGGATTCTTTGTGTTTCCCTTTAAGTGAACCCAAGCACTCTATGAAAAATACTTTCACATATTTCACTTCAGTCTTGCTGTCCTCTCTGGAGGACAGTCTCTTCAGTAAGTGGTGTTGGGAAAAAAGTTCGGATCTTTAAAAAAAAAAAAAAAGAAAGAAAGAAAGAAAGAAAAATCAGTAATGCCTTGAATACAATGATTTTAAAACTTACCTAAATACAAATGTAAGGATGGATAATATCACATTTATTTTATTTTTTAAAATTTTTTTATTATTGAAGTAGAGTTGACATACAATAGCATAATGGTTTCAAGTGTACAACAATAGTGACTAGATATTCCTATATCTTACTCAGTGCTCACCATGATAAACATAGTTGCCATCTGTCACCGAACAACACTGTACAATATTATTATATTATTATTCCCTATGCTGTACTTTCCATCTCCATAACTTACTTCATGTGTTAACTGGAATTTTGTACTTTTAATCCTCTTTTCCTATTTTGTACTCTACCCCCTCCAGTAACCACCAGTTTGTTCTATGTATTTATGAGTCTGTTTCTGATTTTTTATTTGTTCATTTGCTTGGTTTTTTAGATTCTACATATGTGTGAAATCACATGGTATTTGTCTTTCTTTGTCTGACTTCATTTAGCATAATAACCTCTAGGTCCAACCATCTTCTGCAAAATGGCAAGAGCTCATTCATTTTTATAGTTGAATAATATTCCATTGTGTATATATCTCCTTTATTTGCTTATCTATCGAGGGATACTCAGGTTACTCCCATATCTTGACTATTGTAAATGCTACAACAAAACAGGGGTACCTTTATCTTTTCAAATTAGTGTTTTCGAAAAAAAAATTAGTGTTTCGCTTTCTTTAGGTAAGTACCTGGTAGAATTACCGGATAATATGATATTTCTATTTTTAATTTTCTTAGGAATCTGATACTGTTTTCCACGGTGGCTGCACCAATATATACTCCCACAAACAGTGCACAAGGATTCTTTTCTCTCCATATCCTTGTCAATACTTAAGTCCTTTGATACTAGCCATTCAAACTGGTGTGAGGTGGCATCTTACTGCGATTTGATTTGCATTTCCCTGATGATTAGTGATGCTGAACATCTTTTCATGTGTCTGTTCGCTCTCCGTACATCTTCTTCAGAAAAGTGTCTATTCAGCTTCTCTGCCCATTTTTCTAATCTAATTTTTGTTTGATTTTGGTTTTGCGTTTTTTTTTTTTTTGAGTTGTATAAGTTCTTTATTTATTTTGGATATTACCCCTTATCAGATATATCATTTATAAATATATTCTCACATCCAGCAGACTGCGTTTTCCTTTTGTTGAAGGTTTCTGTAACTGTTACAAAGCTTTTTATTTTGGTGTAGTCCTAATAGTTAACTTTTGTCTTTATTTTCCTTGCCTGAGGAGACATATCCCATAAATATGTTGCTAAGGCTGATGTCCAAGTGATCACTGCCCTGTTTTTTTAAGAAGTTTCATGGTTTCAGGTCTCACATTTAGGTCCTTAGTCTGAGTTTATTTGGTGAATGGTTTAAGAAAATAGTCCAGTTTCATTTTTCATATGTAGCTGCCCAGTTTTCCCAACACCACTTACTGAAGAGACTGTCTTTTCCCTATTGTATATTCTTTCCTCTTTTGTCACAGATTAACTGACCATATAAGCATGAGTTTATTTCTGGGCTCTCTATCCTATTCAAATGATCTAAAGTTGACCCTGCAACTTTACTGATTTCATTTCTTAGTTCTAGTAGTTTTTTTGGTGGAGTCTTCAGGATTTTATACACACACCCCCCACATAATTTGCAAGTGATAGTTTTACTTCTTCCTTTCCAGTATGGGTGGCTTTTCTTTCTTTTTCTCATCTGACTGCGGCAGTTAGGTCTTCCAGTACTATGCTGAATACAAGTAAGTGGCAAGAATGGACATCCTTATCTTGTTCCTCATCTTAAAACTTCCAGCTTTTCACCAATGAGAATGATGTTAGTTGTGGGTTTGTCATATATCATCTTTACTATATTGAGGTATGTTTCCTCTAAATCCACTTTGTTGCATTTCCATCATAAACAGATAATGATTTCTGTCAAATGCTTCTGCATCTACTGAGACGATTATATGGTTTTTATCCTTCATGTTACTAATGTATTATAACACATTGGTTGATTTAAAGTTTTGTTTCTTCTTTTACTAGATCTTTTAGGTGTAAGGTTAGACAGTTTATTTCAGATTTTTCTTGTTTCTTAAAGTAGGCCTGCACTACTATAAACTTCCTTCTTAGAACTGCTTATGCTGTGTCCCAAAGTTTTTCAACAGGTGTGTTTTAACATTTTAGATTGTTTTTCTAGCACAATCTAATCAAGATTTATATTTATAAAACAAGCCTCTGTCTGTATCAGCAACCTGAAAGACATATATGAGTATTTGTAAAATTACTCTAAACAAAAATATGAACTAAAAAAAAAACAAGTGAGACTCTTAGCAAGCTAGGAATAGAGGATAACTTCTACAATTTGATAAAGAACATTTACAGGAAACTTATACCTAACTTCACACTTAATGGTGAGGAACTAGAAGACTTCCTGCCAAGATCAGTAACAAGGATGTTCATACCACTCCTTTTCCAACACTGCACTAGAAGTCCTAGCTAATACAGTAAGAGAAAGGGTAATAAAAGGTAGACAAATTGGAAAGGAATAAGTAAAATCATCTTTGTTCACAGATGATATGACTGCTTACCTAGAAAACCTGAAAAAAAAAAAAAAAGAAAAAAAAAAAAAAAAAACAAACAAACAAACCCTCCTGGAACTAATTAAGCTATTATAACAAGATCACAAGATGTAAGGTTAATACACAAAAGTGAATCACTTTGCTATATACCAACAATGAACAATGTGAAATTTGAAATTAAAAATTCATCACCACTTATATTAGCATTCAAAATAAGAAATACTTAGGTAAAAATCAAAATAGGTACAAGATCTAGATGAAGAAACTATAAAACCCCAAAGACAGACATCAAAGAGGAACTAAATAAATTAAAAAGACAGCCCACATTCATGGAAAAGAAGCCTTAATATTGCCAAGAATTCAGTTCTTCCCAATATGATCTATAGATAACCAATGCAATCCCAATCAAAATCCCAGCAAATCATTTTGTGGATATCAACAAACCAATCCTAAAGTTTATTTGGGGCAGCAAAAGATCCAGAACACCCAATATGATACTGAAGAAGAACAAAATCAGAAGCCTGATGCTATTCAACTTACCATAAAGCTACAGTTATCAAGACAGTATGGTACTGGCAAAAAGAATACACAAACAGGAACAGAAGAGAGAGCCCAGACAAAGACCTATATAAATACAGTTAACTGTTTCCTGATGAAGGAACAAAAGGCAATAATGGAGAAAAGACAGTCTTTTCAACAAATACTACAACAACAGATATTCACATGCAAAAAAATTAATCTACACACAGACATCACATCCTTCACAAAAATTACCTCAAGGCTGGTCACAGACCTAAATGTACAATACAGAACTATAACAGTTCTAGAAGGTAACATAGCAGAAAATCTAGATGGCCCAGGAATATGGTAATGACAACATTAAGGCATGAACCATGATAGAACTGCTAGGCCAGATTTTACTAAAAATTAAAACTTCTGCTCTGGAAAAGGCACTATCAACAGAATAAGAAGACAAGCCATAGACTGGGAGAAAATATGTACAAAAGACAGACCTGGTAAAGGACTACTATCCAAAATATACAAAGAACTCTTAAAATTCAAGAAAATAAGTAACCCAATTTAAAAAATGGGTCAAAGACATAACCAGCCACCTCATCAAAGAAGATATATGCATAAGAAATAAGCATATAAAAACATACTCCACATCATGTGTCATCAGTAAATGTAAATTAAGATAGCAATAAAATACCATGATATACCCGTAAGAATGGCCAAAAACCAAAACAGTGACAACATCAAAAGCTGGGGAGGATGTGGAACAACAGGAATTCACATTCACTGCTAGTGGAATATAAAATGGTATAGCCACTCTGGAAGACAGTTTGGTGGTTTCTTACAAAACTAAACATAATCTCACCATACAATCCACAAACAGGCTCCTCAGAACTTACACAAAGGAGCTAAAAACTTATGTCCACATAAAAACCTACAAACAGATGTTTATAGCAGCTTTATTCATATTGCCAAAACTTGAAAGCAACCAAGATGTCCTTTTGCAGGTGAATGGATAAACTGTGGTAATTTCCAGATGATGGAATATTACTCAGCTCTACAACGAAATGAGCTAGCAAGGCATGAAAAGGGATGAGGGAGGGACGCCTGGGTGGCTCAGTGGGTTAAAGCCTCTGCCTTCAGCTCACTTCACGATCCCAGGGTCCTGGGATGGAGCCCCACATCAGGCTCTCTGCTCCACAGGGAGCTTCCCCCTCTCTCTCTGCCTGCCTCTCTGCCTACTTGTGATCTCTGTCAAATAAAGAAATAAAATCTTTAAAAAAAAAAAAAAGAAAGAAAAGGGATGAGGGAACTTAAAATGCATGTTACTAAGTGAAAGAAACCAATATGACAAGCTATATACTGTATGAATCTAACGAAATGACATTCTGGAAAAGGCAAAACTATGCAGACAGTAAAAATATCAGCGGTTGCAGGTCAGGAGTGAGGAATGAACAGGCAGAGAGCGCAGAGGATTGTTACAGCAGTAAAACTATTCTGTATACTGTAGATATATTTCTGTATGTTACCAATACGATAGTAGTACATTCCTCTCATTATTCATTTGTTACAATCCACAAAACATACAACAGCGAAAACGAACCCTAATGTAAACCATCAATTTTGGGTGATGTGTGAAGATAGCTAAGTCTGTAAAAACGTACCATTCCAGGGGCGCC